TCAGGAGGCTGCAGTGATCATTCTCTCAATCCCCCCCCCCCAAAAAAATTATTTGCCTTCCTGTATGGCTTTACTTTAGGGGCAGAGGTCTGTAGGCTGTTGAATGTGGTGGTGCGGAAGAGGATGGTTGCAATAGTTGCATGGCCCAGTGCTAGGCAAAAAATTAAAAGTAGTATTTTTTTAAAGTGGGACCAAGCGCATCAGTATAGCCACGTCCACTTCTGCCATTTGGTAAATTTGAACCATCTCGCCCACAAAATAATCCCGGATAGATTGGAAACCCTATCCACAGCACAGGTACTTTTGCCTCAAGAGTCACCGATGGGTTTTACCCTGTCACAGATATTTTCTTTAATGAGGAGTATATGGTATACGTACTTTGTTCAAGCAGAACAACATAGTAGCAGTTAATTTGGACAAAAATGTATGCATAATGCCAGGTTTCTTTGCTTGTTTTACATTTAGGGTATAATCCAATGGGTTGTGCATTCAATGACCATAAGTGATGGAGGCTTACAAGTATCTTCAGTAGGAAAGGAGGAGGAGCAGGTCTCACCATCCCAGTCTCCTGCCCTACCCATATGGGCTTTCTTCAGATTAGAAAGTCTATTCATTTTTTAAAATAATGGGTTGAATCCTGACAAAATTAGACACTCACAGGCTGCAATCAAAATTGGGAGTTCTTACATCTCAGTATGAATAGGAATGTGCCTTAATGGAGCAGTATCCCATTATGGACTCAATGGGCAGTATCCAGTGTTTGCAATCTGCTAGCCTCCTTTAGGTTGCATTGGCTTCGATGACCACCAGTGCAATCACAAGCTAGCTTGCACTTCTGCAGAAACCCTGGAAACTGACCAAAAGCGGCAATTCCAGAACTGGGCTGGTCAGTGAATGTTTCATTCCTGAAATCTTAGTTTTGTCTTGTTTCTAGGGTAGTAACAGGAAGTGCTAGCTTTCCATTGCACTGGTTGTAATTCCAGCACATGCACAGAACTGCATACTGCCCAAAAGAACTTAAGTTAGCAATAACTTAGCATATTGAGTTCAGAGGGATTCAATTACAACTAATATAATTCAACTGAATGAATGTTGTTAAAAATACATACTTTCTTATTTAAAGAAATTTTAATTTTCTTTTAAAATTTCCCCTTGTAATTTAAGGTCATTCTAGTACAATGAAAATGTTGTATCTCTTTATAAAATATGAAAAGTTATCCATCCAGCAATCAAGACAAACTGAATGCTTGCAGTGGTGGTTTTGTTGTGTAGATGTGAGTCTATCCAACTTCTGTAATATGCTGTGTGTACATAGATTCCTGGATATTTTGGCCTGCCACAGCCATAGCCAGAGCTGGTGATTCCTATCAGATAATACTTGGTGGCATCTGGAAAATAGCACACTAGAGGCCCACCACTGTCTCCCTAGAAAATGAAAAACAAAGGCAATTTAACTATTGTCCATGGTATTGAGAAGCAGAGGGATTGTAATCCATAAATCTAAGTTACGCATCTTTTAAATCATTGAAAGAAAATATAATTGTTTGAAAAGATATGGATGAATATGGAGAGCCAGTGTGGTGTAGTGGTGAAGAGCATGGGACTGGGACTCAGAGGATCTGGGTTCTAGTCCCCGCTCAGCCATGGAGCCAACTGGGTGACTTTGGGCCAGTCACAGGCTCTCAGCCCAACTACCTCACAGGGTTGTTGTTGTGGGGATAAGATGGAGGAGGAGATGTAAGCCGCCTTGAGCCTTTTGTAGGAAAAGGCAGGATATAAATCGAATCTGGACATTCTGAACTAGAAAATCTTGCTTTGCTTGAACTGCAAGCTGGTCAATTTCATACTTGGATGACTAACACTTTGAAAATTCCATGTACAGGTTCAGTACTGTAAAACTCAAGTTAAAGGCTCACAGCATTACATACACTGTTGCTGACTCAAGTGACCCTCACCCTGTATTTGCAAGTGATCTTTTTAGGATGGAAGCAAGTTTTCTGAAGGGACAGAAAAAAAAGTCCTGATTTTCCTGAAAAGCTTATTTACTTTTACTTAAGCCATGTGTCCTTAAACTATGGCCTGCAGGCCAGATCTGGCCCACCTCGGAGGTTTTAGACTTACTCAGAGAAAATGATCTGCGAGCGAGTCCAAAAGTTCTGAGCCGGCGCAGGCGTTCTCAATGGTGAGATGGCCGTGATCGTGGTCACGCTCGTGCAGGGAAGACGGGCGTGATCGCAGTCGTGCTTTGGGGGGGAGGAGATGGCTGTGATCATGACCGCCTTCCCTGCACAAGCATGCCGGGGGGGAAGGGAGATGACTGTGATTGCGCCCATGTCCCCCCCCCCCCCAGCATGATCCTGGATATTGTAGCTATGACCTTTGAATATGGACATGTTCTTCCCCACCTCATCTTGGGCTTCGGCTGCAGCCCAAGTGAGCAGAGCAAACATTTTTAATTTTTTAATTTAAAAAAATACTTAATTTTTAATGTGCAGTGTGCATAGGAATTCGTTCATATTTTTTTCAAACTATAGTCTGCCCCCCCAACAGTCTGAGGGACAGTGAAATGGCCCTGTTTAAAAAGGTTGAGGACCCCTGACTTAAACTATCAACTCTTTTCTACTGCTGACATCTTAACTGAGGTAAATGGTTAATAAAAATACTTCATGGGCTTTCAACTTGAACTGGAATTGTGCTGTATCTTTATATGACCATAGTTTCAGATCTGTATTAGGAATAGAGTATTCTCCCTTTCCTACAATTCCCTTCTCCTTTTGTTTTTACAATGTTTTAAATGGAATTATCTCCAAATTATCTCCATTTTACCTGGCAGCTGTCAACATGCCCACTAGCAGAGCCTGCGCAGATCATATTCCAAGATACTGCCCCTCCATACCAATCATATCTGTTACAGACTTTCAGTGGAATGATGTTGACTTGAGCTTCTTGTAATATAAGTTTGCCTTTGCCTGTAATGGAAAACACAACACAAAGCTGGAAGTATGCCTTTTCATTTAATATCTGTAAAGTACATTCCAGTATATAAAACTTGGGCACTGGAAGAGCTTGAGCCAGTGTAACTCTCTAATGTACAGATCTGCCTCCACCGTGCTAAAGAAGGTGCAAATGAATTCCAATGTTATTGTTGTGAACTGCCCAGAGAGCTTTGGCTACTGGGAAATAAAGTTATGACAACGATTACAGATATCTGTAAAACTGACTGAAGTTAAATGTCAGTTTGTTTCAGATTGTTGTAAACTGGTTGAACTACTTTAAATCACATATGAATCTGGCTAGTGCTACTTATATACAATGACCTGGCTAGCCCATAACCCTAATTTATGGTTTATTTAACTTACGGGTTGTTGTGTTGAATGAATCAAATGATGGTAACAATGGTTTATTAACCACAAACAACCTAGAAACATAATCTATAGTTTATTAGTGGTCTGTTTAAACTTATGTAAAGACAAACAATAATTTTAAAAATCAGGAACATTCTAGTCGCTTTGTCAGGTTGTGAACTGTTTAAATGATTACTGAATTCAGTCAACACAGTAACCAGTGCTCAAGGGATGAGTGTGGGCTGTTACTCAAATGTGGATCGTTGTATTGTCTGAACCCAACTGCACTAGCAAGCAGTAGCTTGTTAACCATGAGAGAGCCCATGGTTTGTTTAGTTGTAAGCTCTGGATTGTTTACTATAGTCTGGCAGGGTCTTGGCAGGGTTCAGACAACACATTAATACATTTCAGTGACAGCCCATGCTAAACCCTTGAGTGTGGTTATTGTGCTGCCTAAAATGAGCCTGTGCCTTGTCCCATCTAAGTTCAAACTATGGGTTGTTCATGGATTTTGCCAGGCTATAGTAGTGGTAAGCAAGAATGCTTAGAGAACCCAGCCATTCTGTATCCCAGTATTAGCACTACAAAGACATTTGGGATACAGGAGAAGAGAAAGAGCTCAGAGTTGAGAAAACAAACCATAGTTTGTTTAATTATCTGCCAAACAAAGGTATGGTTCCATGTCACACCGGTGAGCCACTTCATTTTTCTGTAAAATTCTGTCAGCTCAGTCGAAGATTGTCAGCATAACATACGAACCCAGACCAATGGGTTGTTTAGGGGCTACTGCTGACAACCTTCAATGACAAAATGGAAGTAGCTCATGTTTCCACAACTTACATAGTTTTCAGAGTATACACTAGTTCAACAAGAGATATTTCTGCTATGACATTCATTGGTATCCAGTTTGCATTAAAAGGTGGCAAGTCCTGTGTTGCTTAACCCAGGATTGCTGTGAGTTAATAACAGATGAACCGCACGCTCTTCATTTGTGTTTTCAGCTAATAATCCAGGAACACGACGTTCCTGGCTTGTTTCATGATGTCAATTAATTCTCATTTGTTCAATCTGGAGTTAATCTACAGTTTCCAGGTGGAAATGTCATGAAACAGGAAGAGGGACCTGGGTTGTTAGCCAAAAATGAAAGCAAGAAGCATGCAGCTTGGTGCTTTGCCTTCCAGTGGCAGTTTCTAGGTTAAAACCCCCAGGGATTGCTGCAATTATGCAAGACCCCAATCATTTCGTGTGATTAAAACAGCAGGTCTTCTGAATTAAGGAAATCTGCCCAGTTTGCTTATGCCTAGTCAGTAATGAACCCAAGGACAAGGGGAACTGAAAATTGTTATCTCTGATGATAAAAGTTGCTACCATTGATAGCTACTCACAGGTGATTAGGAAGGGCTAGGTTTTAAAGTTCAGTACCTATAAAAGGTGATGAGGAAGAAAGCTGGCAAATCTGTTTCCCTCTTAACAACATGAAATAGTTCAACATACTTATAGCAAAGATGTTTTCTTATGGCTCAGTCCTTTTCATGTTACCCCAAATTGCCAGAATTCAGTGGGATTTTTCTCAATACCTTACATAGGACTATAGCCAAAGATCCCTAAACTAATTCTTAAGAATTGATTAGTTGAATGGAAAAATTAAAGATTTACCATTCTCTTTTGTTTGGCCCCATCCACTTATGTAACATGGAGTTTGATCATTCAAGAGAAGAGGAGTCTTTGGTAAGCAAATGGGCTGAATATAGTCATTGTACTTGACAATTGTGAGTAGTTTAAACACGGCAATGTCATTTTCATAGGTTGTCATTTCATATTCAGGGTGGATCATGATAGCTTTGACTTGATGCTTTACAGTATGAGATTGGTATTTATAAAGATGATGTAAACCAAGCACAGCCCTCCAGATATCTGGGTTTCTAGAAAAGAATAAAAAACATTGTAGACTAAATATTATAGAATTGTTGCTTCAGAAAATTGGAGGTTTAAGAGTTACAATGCTACAAGGTCAAACTATGTGCAATAATTCTAACAAGAACTTTGGGGTCTCTTAATGGCACACCCACCACTAAGTATAGGAACATTATAGTTTTCTTATTGGAATTTTTCAGTAGGAGATTAGTTTTTCTAATGCCATCTGTTCCAAATCATGGCAGCAATTCTTCTGTCCAAGTGGAGTTTAGAGAATATAACAGGAGAAAACAGAACATTCTGGATATAAGGACCTGCACAAAAAGGTATGCCTGTCCACAAGGACTTTGGCTTATATTCATTGAGTAGCAGCCATCTCAGATGCTTACAAATCTCTGAAATGGGGGTTTATTTATTCACTTATTGCATGAACAATTTACGATTGCTTATGTAATTGGCATCCAGTGAAATTCCTTGAGAAATGTGAAAGTCATACTTTGAGAAAGGATTACTTACTAAACTAAAAGGGGTTAAAAACATTCCTTACCATAAGGTTTTGAAAGCAGAAGCTATGGTTAATAGGCAGCATCCTTGTACTGGTAAATCCTCCTGTTTAATCTTTGAAACAATCTTTTTGTAGGGTTTAATAGCCTAATCTCCTTCATGGATCACTGCCTTGTCGAGGGGAAGGAGCTTGCGAAGTGCAATGAAGCTATGAGATATGCCGTGCAGGGCCACCCAAGATGGACAGGTCATAGCAGAGAGCTCTGACAAAACATGATCCACTGGAGAAGGAAATGGCAACCCACTCCAGGATCTTTGCCATGAAAACCCCATGGACAGTACCAAAAGGCAAAAAGATATGACGCTGGAAGATGAGCCCCTCAGGTTGGAAGGTGTCCAATATGCTACTGGAGAAGAGCAGAGGGCTAGTACTAGTAGTGCCAGAAAGAATGAAGTGACTGGGTCAAAGCCGAAAGGACACTCAGTTGCAGATATATCTGGTGGTGAAAGGAAAGTCCAATGCTGCAAAGATCTATACTCCATAGGAACCTGGAACGTAAGATCCATGAATCAAGGCAAGCTGAATGAATGCAGAATTCCAGAGAATAGCTAGATAGAAGAGATAAGAATGCCTTCTTAAAGGAACAGTGCAAAGAAACAGAAGAAAACAATAGGATACGGAGGACCAGAGATCTCTTCAAGAAAATTGGAGATATGAAGGGAACGTTTCATGGAAAGATGGGCATGATAAAGGACCAAAATGGCAGGGACCTAATAGAGGCAGAAGAGATTAAGAAGAGGTGGCAAGATTACACAGAAGAACTATACAAGAAGGAGCTTAATGTCCCTGATGAGCATGATGGGGTGGTTACTGACCTTGGGCCAGACATCCTGGAATGTGAAGTCAAATGGGCCTTAGGAAGTCTGAGCAACAACAAAGCTAGTGGAGGCAACAGTATTCCAGCTGAGCTATTAAAAATCTTAAAAGACGATGCAGTAAAAGTGCTACACTCAACATGCCAGCAAATTCGGAAAACTCAACATTGGCCACAGGATTAGAAAAGGTCAGTTTATATTCCTATCCCAAAGAAGGGCAATGCCTAAGAATGTTCAAACTACCGCACCATTGCACTCATTTCACATGCTAGGAAATTATGCTCAAAATCCTACAAGCTAGGCTCCAGCAGTATGTGGACCGAGAACTACAAGAAGTACAGGCAGGATTTCGAAGAGGGAGAGGAACTAGAGATCAAATTGCCAACATATGCTGGATCATGGCGAAAGCTAGGGAGTTCCATAAAAACATCTACTTCTGCTTCATTGACTATGCTAAAGCCTTCGATTGAGTGGATCACAACAAACTGTGGCAAGTTCTTAAAGAGATGGGAGTACCAGACCATCTTATTTGTCTCTTGGGAAACCTATATGTGGGTCAAGAAGCAACAGTGAGAACTGGACACAGAACCACTGATTGGTTCAAAATTGAGAAAGGAGTTCAGCAAGGCTGTATACTGTCACCCTGCCTATTTAACTTATATGCAGAGCACATCATGAGAAAGGTGGGGCTAGATGAATCACCAGGTGGAATTAAGATTGCTGGGAGAAATATCAACAACCTCAGATATGCAGATGATACCATTCTAATGGCAGAAAGTGAAGAGGAACTAAAGAGCCTCTTGATGCGGGTGAAGGAGGAGAGTGCAAAAGTTGGCTTGAAACTCAACATTAAGAAAACTAAGATCATGGCCTCTGGTCCTCTCACTTCCTGGCAAATAGATGGGGAAGAAATGGAGATAGTGACAGATTTTATTTTCCTGGGCTCCAAGATCACTGTAGACGGGGACTGCAGCAAAGAAATTAAAAGACGCTTGCTCCTGGGGAGGAAAGCTATGGCAAATCTAGACAGCATACTAAAAATCAGAGACATCACCCTGCCAACAAAAGTGCGTATAGTCAAGGCTATGGTTTTCCCAGTTGCAATGTATGGCTGTGAAAGTTGGACCATAAGGAAGCTGAGCACCGAAGGACTGAGGCCTTGGAATTGTGGTGCTGGAGGAGACTCCTGAAAGTCCCTTGGACCACAAGGCGATCAAACCGGTCAGTTCTAGAGGAGATCAACCCTGACTGCTCTTTAGAAGGCCAGATACTGAAGATGAAACTCAAATACTTTGGCCACCTAATGAGAAGGAAGGAGTCCCTGGAGAAGAGCCTAATGGTGGGAACAATAGATGGCAAAAGAAGAAGGGATGGCAGAGGATGGGGTGGCTGGATGGAGTCACTGAAGCAATTGGTGTGAACTTAGTGGACTCTGGGGGATGGTGGAGGACAGGAAGGCCTGGGGGAATGTTGTCCATGGGGTCGCGATGGGTCGGACACGACTTCGCGACTAACAACAATAGCCTACTACAGGCTTAGCTGTATTATAAATGCTGTTAAATATCCAGACTGTACCCAGGATAGCTTTAATAAGAGCATTTTTCCAGCAAATTTACTTTGCTTAGGGATACTTAGGGGGAGCAAAAAAGAGAAAAAGTCATGTTGGGTAACAGAGCAGGAGAATATCTGGTAGCTTTGAGGGACAGGTTTAAGTGATCAGGTTAAGTGTCACATTTCTCTACTAAACCTCAAGTTAAAAATGGTTGCATCATGGCACAATATCCTTCTAGCCAAGGCATTTTCGTGAAACATTGTAGCTTGCTTGGCCAGTTAGAGCATTTCTGCTCTGCCTGAAGCAAAGGAATTTGTTTTCAACCATACAAGGAGGTGGGGGAGGGAGATCTTCTACTTTTACAGGTACACTACCATCCTTTCAACTTCTTCCGGAATTTCCAAAAAAATGAGTAAAAATGCCCTCCCACTTCTGTGGCCTGCAGATGTAGTTGTTTTAAAGTAATGCATCAGTGCCAAATAAAAGTTACTGATTTCTGTTCCACCTCTGGGATAGCCCTGTAATACTTGGACCCATATTCCACTGCAACTAAGCTGATGGGTAACCACAAGAATAACATAGTCGTCCTGGTTTTTACTCCTGTTTTTCTTGTGTGAAAAATAATGCTGATTAGATGTCATTTTATTTCTCTCACTTTTGCACACATACAACTACTACACACTCAAAGCTGGTCATGCATTTCCACAACAAAATGCGACTGTCTGTGATCTGAAATTGTCTGACATAACATGATTTTCTCAGTAAAAATAATTGTTTTGTAGAAACATAGTAAACTATTACAAACAAAGAGTACATTCTCTAATGTGAGTACTCAACAGGATTGTCTGATCATTAAGACACAGCTTTATTTGCACCGCTTCTGAAATCCTACAGCACAGAAACTCTGGCTCAAACAGTGCTTACTCCTAAATTTTCAAAACTGATACACAGAAAATGATGCTACTACTGACCTTATTTAAACCGTGAGAGAGGTCCAAGAAAGGAATATTTAGAGAAGATAGACATAAACATGGAAGTGTATAGCCAAGTCAGCAGATGAATGCTAGGTGACCTTGTCTTCCCTATGGCTAGCTAGCTTTGCTACATATTTATTCCCCTTGGCTCCTATTTCTTCTAGGCCTCCCAAATCAAGTCCTACATTTCTTAGTCTATTTCCACTGCTGCACTTTCTCTTACCCCTTAATTATTTTTATCATCTTAAGCAGCCCAGTTGTTGTTCCCTCCACCAGCTTCCTTTCTCACTCCACACCTTCGTGCACTTTCTTTTACTCAGGTGGAGCCTGATTTAGCCTAATGGAGATCCATGTGGATAAGAGGAGGGGGACGATCTATTGGCATCTATTGGAGTCATAAAAGCATACAGTTTCTAGAATCTTTATACAATTCTTCTGTAGCTGTTCTTTAAGATAATTATTATTTTGTCAACCTCTCCCAAGTGAAAACAGAAGATACATGCAGCCTATAATCTCACAGTATATCTAACCTAATGGCACTACTCCTACCATTACCATCTGAAATAGGTCTATTTTAGTGAACACGTCTTTTTAGCCATTTCAAATCAGCCTTAAAACAGAGGAGGATTTAGAATGGAAAGATACGTACACATAATTTTTAATGCAGTGTGCTGCTGTCAGCACTGAGTTGTTATTAATTAAAGATCCACCACATACATGGCGATATCCCACATGAATGTCTTGAACTTGAAGACTAACTTGCCATGGCCATGCCCCAAGTTCTGCATCATGTCCGCCTATAATCCGAGTCCCCATGGCTAGCTGCTTCACAGTAGGCCTTGTCCCACATTCTAGAAATCAAAACATAGTTATAATCTGCCATGCTACCAAACACCATGTGAAATATAGCAGCATTCACAAATTACATATTTACAGTAGATCCTAAAAGGGATTCTGTTAAACTGATCAGTTTGGCATAGTAGATGCTACCGAAGTATCTTCTTTTGGAGAAATAAAGCAAAGCTGAATGGCTCAGTCATCCTGTGAATTACCAACCTCTGAAGTTAGTTCCAAAGAAACTGCCAAATGTTTTGATTCAAGGAATATTAGAGTGTATGCCTTAAGGATGCTGTCCCAGTTAGAACAGATTAGAGAATCAATTAAATAGGCTGCATTGTTGTTCAATCACTTTATTTGGAAATCTTCATATTTGATGTTCATGGAACTTACTTCCCTATAAGTATGCTTAGAATATCATCCTGTTAGATCATGTGCATGTCTTAATCCCATTTCTGTGATTCTACAAACCATCTTTTTAAACCTACAGATTCCATGCAGATATACAGATATTGGCAGTAGAGTTTCCTTAGAGTAAGCAGGAAGGATTATGCCTCTGCTTAATGTTATTTAAAGTAACCATGGTGATTTCTATGAGATTGAGAGGAGGTGGAGAATTATGTAAGATACCTTGAGTTTCTTGGAAGAAAAAGGGTTGGGATATAAATATAACAAACATATGCATCCCTCCCTCCCACCTACCACACTGTGTTTGTATTTTGTACTTAGCTCCATATACCAGGGAACAGAAGCAACCCTCAAGGAACACACCATTTTCTTCCATGGAGATGAACTGTTTTATAGAATTTAAAACTCTGTGTGTCACAGCAGTGGTGCAGCTAGGGCTGGTTCTATAGGCCTTCTTCCAGGAGCCACGTCCTCAAAGGGGAACAGCAGCAAAGAGGCCCAGCATCAGCACATGGGCTTGTATGGGCATGCCATGGCTCACGGGTTGAACCTGCTTGCTGCTGCATCTTATTCTTACAAGCATTTAGAACTGGACGGGTTACCAGGTGGGCATGTTCATGGTAATAGATGCTCATTTTATTATTTATACTTTTAAAATAAATTCAGGCAAAACTGCACACTCAGTCTATTTCTTAATCAGTTCTGGCAAACAGGGCTTGTTTGTTTTACATAAATCAAGAAAGGAGAAGCAATTAAGCTGGAATGGGAGGGCAGAGGGAAACCAATCCTGCCCATTAAAGTCACTCTAAGATTGCCTTGCCATATCATTGCACAACCCATCTATGCATTGCTGGGGTTAGATGCAGCTGAGATGGAAGAGCATCTCAGGTGGGCTGTTCCCAGCACCCTGAAGTGGTGAACCTGAGCTTTCAAGGAAAATGCAGTCCTATCCAGAACAGGCCCTAATGTGAACTCGGATTAGTTTCCCTACTTAACAACCCTTTTATCTTGTCTAAATTAAGCCTCAGTTGTTGGCCCACATCCAGTCCATCAATGCATCCAAACAACAGGTAAGAACCTTCACAGTCTTCTTGAAGTTTTGACAGAAAGGAGAGATAGACCTGGACATCAGCAGCATAGTGATGGCATCCAAACTCAAAAGTCTGAGAAGATTAAAAAACAACAACTTCAAGGTGAATCTGTATGTCATAATGTCTGTGTAATTCCATTCTTAAAGAAAACTAAATTCTAACTGGATTGGGTGAACATCGCAGAATATTTGGAGATGGATTCAAAGATAAAATTTTGCATAGACTTTCTCAAGCATGATCTCTCTCTGCCATATTTTTGTTTCCCAGGGCAATGAACTTGCAACCTTGGCCTTCCCTTCGCAATTCCCAAAGCAGATAAAAGATTCCTTTCTATATATGCTAAGCCTCTCAGCTCTCTTATGGCAAGAATTATGCGTGAAAGCAGCACCTCGGTTATTTGTGCAATCAAGCTCCTTGAACAAGCCACTGCAATTGCACAAAACAGCAATAAACACGTGAGGAGCCTGCTTGTGGCACCACTACAAAAATACCGAGTGGTTCTTTTGATCCCTAGACTAGCAGCGGCTTTCTGAAGAAGCTTAACTGTAGCAACGTACAAAGAGAGACAGGCGCCATGCATGACTTTCTATATGCCTGACTTTCACATTGAAGCATCTGGCCGGACTGGCGCCCCAGGATTTTCCCTGTCAGACCGAAACCACACTCTGTAAGCAGGGCCGTTTGCCAGGAACCGAAAACACTTAGACGCCTATCTATCTGCTTGGGTTTTTAAAGCAGATCCAGGGGGACATGGGACCGAAAATCCGATGCCTAGACCGACACTTTCAAGGCGCCGACTTCCATGCCCCACCTGGACGATTTGCCCTTTCCTCCATACCGAGAACATTTGAAATGGGGCTGGGGAAGCGCCTGATGCACTTGCACGCGCACGAGGTCATCCGCCTGTTTTAAGAGGTTGCTGGGAGTGGTAGTTTTGGCGATGCTCCCTCCCGAGGCCTCCAGGCGCAGGCGCAATGGCTCCACGGTCTTGACGGCGTGCCGGTGCTTAACGAACGAGGGAGCCTACCCAGACTCCTTCGACGCCGTTCCGCTGGGGGTGGGGTGTGTGGGGGGCATCTGTGCTCACCGTCTTCGGGGGTCAGGGAAGGCAGGACGCTGAGCGGGGCTCCACCCAGCAGCACCAGGAGCTCCCAGAAGGAGGCAGGAGCGGAGCGGGGGGGTCGCCGCATCGTTCGCCAAAGGGGAAAACGGCGGGCAGCTCCGGGTCAGATTAAGTGGCGTTCCGCTTCACGTGACCGTGGGGAAAGGGCGTTTGGGCACGAGGTCCGTTCGTGGTCGTCGCGTTGGGGTAGCGAATTACCCGCCTTAAATCCCTTCGCCACGGGGGGTGGGGGGCTTGAATGAGTGATCTGTGAGGCGGACAAAGGCCGTGGATTCTCTTCGTGGAAACTTCTTGAATGATTTGGGCAAATGTTGACATGCAATATACCCCCAAAAATTTAATAGTGGGATTAGCCCACAGTAGTTGGAAATATAATTTATTAATATCATTTTTGTACCAAGGCTTTCTAGCTTACACATCTTTCTGTGAAAAGGTAAATATTTATTGAATGGTTCTTATTCTTGGGTTCAGAGAAGGTATTGAGATACTTCTAATGACATACATGTACCTTAATCTTTAGGGTGTTTGTCTTCATGCTTTTTTTGGCAGAATGGCTTTGAGTTATTTTTTTTTCTCTTCACCATACTTAGATCTCCCGCTTTCATTTTCATGTGAATTTTGTCAAATACAAGCAGGAATACATTCAATGAACACAATTAGTGTGACCTTTAATAGCACTGCAGAAAGGGGGGGTTGAAAAGGGGGGTTTGTCTTGGTCATGCAATAGCTTTTCCTGCCTCCCCCCCCCCCAAAAAAAAAAAAAAAAACCCTTCAGCACAACTACAGTAGTTGAGTATCAAGACTCAGCTCCTGGAGCCCTGAGCACTTTGCATCAAGCCAAGCTTATAGTTTCAGGACAATTACCACTGTATACATATACTCCAGTACTTTACTATGCAGATCCTTTGTTAAGCCTAGTCACAAACATTGTAAAGAGGAAGAATGCTTGCAAAAATGCACCCAAGTATTTCTGTATGCTCAAAGCATTGAATCTTTTATTGTGAATACTTTATTTTTCTGCAATGTTCTTTTGAAATGTACTGTTATCAGTAAAAAGGGGATTTTTGTCCATTGTTGTTATTCAGAAAAACACTCCAAATGCCTCATATCTAGAAAGCAATCCTCCAAACTTAAAAATACAAAATATTAATGCAGCATATTAGATCCTAAAACAATAGAGTACTGATAAAAGAATTCAAAGTAAGGAGGCTAGAATACGAGTAGGGTGGGGATCAATCAAACCTCTGACAGTATTTTAATTTACTTATGAGAGAAACAGATGTTCAACTGGTCTATGTTACAAATCTTATGCAGAACCTAGCAGGATTATACCCAATGGAATGAAAAAGTAGTTGCCTTGAAAAGCTGAGGTTAGGGATGAGAACAAAATGGACAAGGAGATGTACCATTCACATCCCTAGTTAAAATATTAAAGATTCTTGGAGCAACTTAAATATTTCACTATCTAAGCACAAGTTTTTGTGGATCAATTATATCATTGGCTATGTGATGTATTTACTGCAGCAGACATGCTGTGCAATACTAATTAACTTTGAAGTCCAATTTATCTCAATAGAATTACTTCCTACTAAATGTGTTTACAATTGCAGTATATGTCACTATCTCCGTTGCTTGAGTGTGTGAATAGTTAACTTATATTTACATACTGTATGCTGTTTCCTCTTCCTGTCCCCTCCCGCCCCCAATCTTCTGTCAAATATATAAAAGCCTCATTACTCTGCAGAATTCTCCATGTTTTGAACTGAGAACAGACCAAAGGGGAAACTCCAGTGGAACCAGAGACCTGATAAGCAAGTCATCTAGTAAGGTTGCTATGTCAGAAGGTGCTTCTGGTGGAACTGAAGATGCTGGTTCTGGCCCATATTTTTGTGTTTCAGCAGAAGACCCCAGTGCAGCACCTGCAGATCCCCTTCGGTGGTATCCAAGAAGGGATCTCCAGTATAGCATCTATAAAATGTTTAATATGTATTTTAATTCACCCCTTTTAAAATATATGGATTTCTATACATCCATAGCAATGAATACATATAAAATCCATACAACTTTCCAGCAATTATATGTAGACTTCAACAAAGGCAGATCACATATTTGAAGGTGTTGCCTATATGCCAGCTGTTCCCATACAGTAGCATTATAAGGTCCTCAACACATATAGGAAGTCAGGTTTTATCTTTCCAATGCTGTGATTTTAATTGTTGAAAAGGTACAGAGAATTCATTTATGCTGATAATTTGTTGATTTCCATCAAGTAATTTAAGCATATGTTCAACAGTGAAAATTAAACTGTTCCAGTTTAAAATGTATCTGTCTAATAACCCCTCTAAAAAAGCAGCAACCAGGGGACATTTATAAAAAATATGCTTAAAAGCATTAGCTGGGTTGCACCACCAGCAAGTAGCCAAATTAGACAATCCTTTATTAAAGCATGCCCAGTAGATGCAAAACAAAGGCTCCCCCCACCCTCCCTGTTTTGGAAGTGGTTGAAGCCCCATTGGTGAGGTTGTTCAAGGTTAGGCTAGACATGGACATGGTAGGCATGTCGTGAGCAGAGCTGGTTGGAGCCGGGGTCAGACTAGATGGCCTGGGTGGCCGCTTCTGACTCGCTCAGTTTCTATGTTTACGATCCATAGGCACAATAAGTAAATGGCAAACAAGAGATCCATCAGTTAGACACTTTGTCAGCAGTTTGACACTTTGTGCCAAATTCCAAAAAGATTGCAGGTTAGAATTCACTGAAAGCAGAGACTGGGGTCCATAGAAATAACACTGTTATTGCCTGGAAAGAACTGGGATTTGGAGTCATTACTATCCCAGTGGACTGGATGCATCAAGGCAGACAGTTCCTGAGGCCGACACTCAAAAAACATTTGATGCCTCACATCTCCCTGCATTACCCAGCCACTCACGACTGGAAGATGCTAGGAGTTACAGACTGTTTTCTTTCTAAACATGTATAGGACTGCAGTCTTAATATTACTAATAGCATTACATCCCCACCCCTTCTCCTCTTTCAATGAATCCAAGGCAACATAGTTGGTCTTCCTGTTCTGCATTTTAATCTCAAAGCAACCCTGTGAGGTAGGTTAGGCTGCCTGATCCAAAATCACTGAGTGAATTTCATGGCCAAGCGGGGACTAGAACCCAGCCCTGTGTGTCAGTACAACACCCTAACCACTGCACCACACTGGCTCTTAGTAGTATTTATTATCAGATTATTTCACAGCATAGCCCATGATATGGGGCCGAATAAGATTCCAAGTTAAAGGGGCTTGTAAATGCCATAGTTTCACCTCTGAGAACCCAGCTTTTTCCAATTCTTTCCAGGTTTCTCTTGTCAAATGACACCCATCAAACAAAACTCTCCAAGTTGGTTCACAGACTTGCTGCCAGAAGAGAGTCCAGCTGGAAGGAGCATCTGCAACATGTTCCAAGAAGTAGAAAGCACCTCCCTGGAGAAACAAAGATGCATGTGTGTTATTTTTTCTTTTCTCTTGGATAGATACATCCAGACATTCATTCATTCATTCATTCATTCATTCATTCATTTAAAGCATTTCTATGCCGCCCCCATCGCAACAAAGCCTCGGGGTGGCTCACAAAAAATACAAAAAAACATACATAAACAACAATAATATAACAATTTAAAAGAAAAAAAAACGTTTAAAACCCCCGGTGCATTCTCGGCTAATTTTAAAATCCTAATAAATACAATAATTTAGCAATTAAAATAAGTTTTAAATAAAAAGTCTTAGCCTGGAGCTGAAAAACAAATAATGACGGCGCCAGGCGGATCTCTCTGGGGAGCACATTCCATAGATGGGGCACCACCACAGAGAAAGCCCTCCTCCGGGTACTCACCCTCCTAATATTCACAGAGGGTTCCCGGAGAAGGGCATCTGTTGCTGATCTCAAGGGGTGGAAGGGCATATATGGGCGCAAGCGTTCCTTTAGATACCCAGGACCCAAGCCGTTTAGGGCTTTATAGGTCATAACCAACACCTTGAATTGGGCCCGGACTTCAATCGGGAGCCAGTGGAGCTGACGGAGAACTGGGGTTAAATGAGAACAACGCCCAGTCCCTGTCAGCAACCTGGCACCTCTATTCTGCACCAATTGAAGTATCCGGACCGTCTTCAAGGGTAGCCACACGTAGAGCGCGTTATAGAAATCTAATCGGGAAGTTACCAGCGCGTGTGTCACTGTCGCCAGGCAGTCGTTCTCCAGGAAGGGACACAGCTGATGTATCAGCCGAAGCTGAAGGAAGGCGCTCCTCGCCACCGCCGTCACCTGAGCTTCTAGAGACAGCTCAGGGTCGAGGAGCACTCCCAAGCTGTGAACCCTGTCCCTCAGAGGGAGTGCAACCCCATTTAGGACAAGGCCCATGTCCCCCATCCCGAGGCCCGAGCCACCCATCAACAGGACCTCCGTCTTGTCTGGACTGAGCTTCAGTTTATTGGCCCTCATCCAGCCCATTACCTCGGCCAGGCACCGGTTCAGCACAGCCACTGCCTCACCTGGATTAGTTGAGAATGAAAGGTAGAGCTGGGTATCATCAGCGTACTGATGATTCCGCAGCCCACACCTCCTGATGACCTCTCCCAGCGGTTTCATGTAGATGTTAAATAGCAAAGGGGACAAAATGGACCCCTGCGGAACTCCATGGCATAACTGCCATGGCGCAGAGTCATAGTCCCCCAGCACCACCTTCTGAAATTGGCCGTTGAGATAAGAGCGGAACCACTGCCACGCGGTGCCTCCAACTCCCAATCCCGCTAGCCTATTCAGAAGGATACCATGGTCGATTGTATCGAAAGCCGCTGAGAGGTCCAGGAGAACTAACAGGGACACACTCCCCCTGTCTCTCTCCCTGCACAGGTCATCGTACAGGGCAACCAAGGCAGATTCAGTGCCATACCCGGGTCTGAAGTCGGACTGAAATGGGTCCAGATAATCAGTTTCATCCAAGAGTGCTTGGAGTTGTCCTGCCACCACCCACTCTAGCACCTTGCCCAGAAATGGGATGTTGCCCACTGGTCTATAATTGGCGGCCACTGCTGGATCCACGGATGCCTTTTTTAGGACTGGCTGGACTACCGCCTCCTTTAAAGGGGCAGGTACCCGGCCGTCTCTTAAAGAGGCGCTGACCACCTCCAGGATCCAGGGCCCAATCCCATCCTTGGCTTTCGTAAGTAGCCATGATGGGCATGGGTATAGTAAGCAAGTGGTAGGACATACTTGTCCAAGCACCTTGTCCACATCATCAGGCTGCAACAACTGAAATTCATCCATTAATTGTGGACTCGACGACGTCGATGGTGTCTCCCCAGCAGAATCTGGTTCCATAGCAGAGTCAAGCTTGTGGCGAATCTGAGCAATTTTCTCCCTGAAATGCTTGGCAAAGTCGTCACAGCAGGCCTTCGAGGGTGGCACAAGATCTTTCTTCGGGCCTGGATGTATCAGCCCCCGCAACCACCCGAAAAAGCTCCGCCGGACTGCATTGTGAGGAGGCAATGGAAATGGAGAAGAATTTCTTCTTCGCCATCCTCACCGCCACAGCATAGGCCTGATAATGGGCTCTTAAGTGTGTTCGGTCAGAATCACCCCGTGATCTCCTCCACCTACACTCTAGATGTCTCCCAACTTGCTTCATCGCCCGTAATTCAGGCGTATACCAAGGAGATGAACAGGCTCTGCCAGGTGGGAGAGGACGCTTGGGAGTGATTGTGTCAATAGCCCTGGTCATCTCCTCATTCCACAGTTCAACCAGGGCATCGACCGGATCACCAGCCTTGTCAACCGGAAAATCCCCCAGAGCTTCCAGGAATCCATCAGGATCCATCCGGCTCCGGGGGCAGACCAATACAATCGGGTCTGCACCCTTGCAGAGGGAAAGGCCGCTCTCGAGCTCAAAGCTTGTGAGGAAGTGATCTGACCATGACAAGGGCGTCAAGCTCAAATTCCTCACCCTCAGATCACCCTCTTCCTGCCCCATTGAGAAAACCAGGTCCAGAGTGTGTCCACGTTCATGGGTCAGGCCAATGACGTGTTGAGACAGCCCCATGGCCGCCATGGAGGCCATGAAGTCCTGAGCCACCCCAGTTAGAACTGTCTCGGCATGGAGATTGAAGTCCTCCAGGACCAACATCCTGGGAGTCTTCAACACCAGGTCCGAGATGGTCTCCGTCAGCTCAGGCAGGGAGTCTGTTGGGCCGAAGGGTGCATGGTACACCAACAGAATCCTCAATCTGTCTCAGTCGCCCAACACCAAGTGGAGGCACTCCAGCCCCGGCCTCGAGAGGACAAGAAGCCCCACAAGGGAAATAGAAGCTCGATAAACCAGAGCGACTCCCCCTCCCCTCCCCTCCAGGCGTGGTCGGTGCTGGACCAGGTACCTGGGCGGGCACAATTGTGAGAGGGAAACACCCCCCCCACCTGCCCAGGTCTCTGTGATGCACGCCAGGTTGGCCCTCTCATCCATGATCAAATCATGGATGAGTGTTGCTTTATTTTGGACCGACCTGGCATTAAGCAGCAGCACCGACAGGCCCGGGGGGCAGCTGACAAGTCTACCTGGAACCCGCCGGCTGGGGGAATAACCAGAAAGAGGGACAGGTGTTAACCATCTGTCCCTCCTTCTTCTATGCTGACCCGTTAGACCCCCAACGCCATAACACCCATTGCCCATCACCACCCCAATGGTGGCAGCCCCGCGCTCCCCAGGGAACATCATAATAAGCACGAGATGCACCAATTAAAACCAATCTAAAACCAACAATTAAAACCATTAAAACATCCTCCTGTCCTCATTGCTTTCCACAGTCATTGAGCTCTGAGTTAACCTTACACAGTAAGCACTGTGATAAATTCTGTGGTGTGAAGGCCATACTTTAGTGTCATAGCTACAAATTTACATGGCTTTCTAGCTGTTTTCCTGTCATGTCCTCCGAAGCAGCTGTGTCCCAAGACATTTTGGTCCCTGAGGCAAAGGACAGCATCAAGGATAGCCAGGCACCTGCCAAGAGCTCACATCCCAGCAGGAGTCTGCTGACAAAAGCTCCTTGAGGTAGTTCCTCCTCTTCACTGAAGTCTGACATTAAGAGCAAAGACTTCCATTCAAGCAGCTGGAGTTCCCCTTCTTCTTTGTTAAAGTTGCCTTCTTCAGTAAGAGCTGCACCATGGCTTCTTTAAGAACAGCTGGGATCACATCCTTGTCAAGAAGGCATTCACTACTCTTTCCAGGTCCAGATCTTCAAACCCACCTTGCATGCATTTACTAGACATATTGGGCCAGCATCTACATCTCAAACTGCCAAGCAGCTGGTCCATATTCTCTGGCTGAACAAGCTGAAAGGTCTCAATCAGAACTGGACAAGCCAATTGGCTGCCTCCAATATTGACCCTGCCTTGTGTATTGAGACTGACCGGAACACACTGCAACAGGGAGTCTGAATGAACTCTTCACAGTGTCCAGTACAGTCCTCTAAATTAGCAGTGGTAGATTAGATAGCTTTCAGGCTTGTATTCCCAAGAGAAACCCTGCAGTCTGATATGTAGAATAGGTTTTCTTCTTGGACCTCAGCATGCACTGGTGTCCAGGCAACTCAGTGCCCCAGAAGTAACGCCCATCATACCAAGAAGACTTTGCTCTAAAAGGATGCGTTTTGCTTTGCTCATTCACTGGCCAACACAAATTTTGGTGCCTCAAATGTTAGATCTGTTCCTGGGTATGTTTGACCTGCTGATTCCAAAAATGGCACCAATGTTTCCCTATCAGCTGTAGTTTTTGAGATACAGCATAACTGCCATATACCACTCTTCACTCTGGTTGCCCAGAGAAGCATTTCTTTTCTGTGATTACCACCAGTCTTAACTATCTATGGTCATCCCTGCACAAGTTTTCCAGTCTCTATGGCCCAATTGTCAGTCAATAGTCTCATTGCCCTCAGCTCCTCAGATTGGGAGGATTTACATATAATGCTAAGCCTTCCTGGAGAGGAAGCCACAGCAGGGTAGTTCTTGGTTCACTGACCTTCATTACTACCAACACATGACCTGTAACTTGCCGAGTCTTGTCCCCCAACCCCTGCCCATCATGAACCTGGGGAACCTTGCAGGTCAAGTCTGTTCTCAATGACTCTGCAAAATGGCTGGTGTGGCAAAGGCCCTTCTGCCGTTGGTCTGCTGCCAATGCTTGGTGTCTTTGTGGTTTGTGAGCATTTGCTAATTTGTGGGAATTATTTGGTGTAAATATCACCCGCCCCCATGCTTTCACAGGTGTTTCTCTGTTCCCACCTCTGACTGTCCATTTCTCTCCACTTGCCAGCCTCTACTCCATAATTAACCATTTTTCACCTACCTTGATGGGCGATATTTCCCATTATCTTCCCCTCACAACCCACCCCCATGTACATGCTTTCACTTGCATGGAGGCCATTTGTCTCAGTGGCTTATTTTTCCTGTCCAGCATCTCTTTAACCGTACCCTCATCCTGTGATGTCTCCATGCACAGCAGGAGAGGAGAAAGAAGGGATGGATAAAGAATTGTGGCTTCCCGAGTGCAGCACGACTCGTGCTCAAAAATGAAGAAACTAGAAAAGGGAGGAAAACAGGAGGGTGAAGGTGAGGCTTTCACATGCTGTTGCAAGTCAGACTGCAGAGCCTACTGGGTTTTTTCACCACTCACCAGCCATTTCTGTAATGCTGCTCCATAAATTGCACCAAAGCACTAGTACCATGTCAGCCATCCTGAGAAGCCACCCTAGGAAAAAACTATCCTCAACAACCAGGAACCGTTTCTCAGGGTGGGTAGTAAACCATGCGGAACTGCCCTCATGAAGTTCACATGTCGCCAAAGTTATGTGGACAGAACTGACATTTGCATACTGTGTCCCATGACAGCAACAAGGAGCTGATATAGCTCTGAGATTTGGTCAAGGAGGCTTGGAACTAATAATGTTTACAACATCCCCTTGGGGAATGGCATGGGGATAGGCCTTCTGGGTTGTATGTGCTGGAGCCTGGAATGGAAACCCTGACGCAGGGCTTGCTGCTGATCATCCCAGTGGCCTCGGTGGGGAGGTGAAGGGGCCGAGTGCCTGGAAGGAGAAGCCATAGATGCGGGCTACTCCCCTTATGGGCTTTCCTGTGATGGCCTAGAGCACTGGAGGTTTCCACTGGGATGTCTAGGCCTTGTCACCACCCATGTGGGCCACCCTTGCTCTGTGGCCATCCTGTGTGTAGGGGGAAGACACTCACCCGCTCCAGTTGATCAAAGGCATGCTTGGTGGTTCCAGCTGGAGGAAGGGGGACTCTTCCGGGACAGCAGTGGCAGCTTCTGAGGGCAAAGGCCAGCATGCCTCTGTGGCAGTGGGTGAACTTCCTCCCTCCCTTTGGGCCCCCAGCACATGGCCTGTGCAGCAGCAGGCAAGGGGGCCTGCAGTCTGCTGTCTCCCCTTCCAGAGGAGTGGCGAGGCCTACAGCAAGCAGAAAGCTTTCTGGTGCACACAGCTGCAGGAAGGAGAGCTCCTCTTCAGTCTGGCTGTTCAGCCAGGGCTTCCTCGCACAGCTGGGTTATCAGCCCAGCTCTATACAGGGCCTGGTGTTCTGTCCTGCATGGCCTCCCCCAGTCCACTGATCCTCTTTAGCTCTTGCTTGCTGCCTTTCTTTTTTTGCTGCTGCTGCTCCCATGGTGAACACAAGAGCTGGTAAGCATGCCTCCCACCCGAAGGGGCACGGAACAGCTGGAGACTTCTGGGGAGACAGCAGCTCATCCAGCCACTTCAGCCAAGTGTGCCTTCCCAGCCCCTGGGGTGGGGGCCTTCAAGGACGCAGGCCACCTGCCCTCCTGCAGGAGCAACTGGCCCAGGATTGCATCAGGGTCGCTTGACTTAGGGTTCTTTGCAGCCCTGGGAGAATACAGCTTTGGTTACATGCTGCAGGCAGCCCAGTTTGGTAAATCAGTGTCTGCAATATGGTGGTGTACTTCATTGTGTGCCTCCCTTGAGCAAAGTAAGTGGTTTAAAGTAGTAATTTAGGGGAAAATGGCAAACAAACAGAAAAACGCAGTCCAACTGTTCACAGCCCTGTGCTGCACTGCTTAACTGGTTGACAGCCTGTTGTCTCCATGACGCAATTCCCATGTCAGTCTGCTTCTCTTTTGGTGAGATTTTTTTCCTTAAGTGCCTCCACCAAAGGGTGGATCCCACGGTTTCTTTCCCATGGAGTGTATCTTTGGGGTCCCCCCACCACATCTGCACCACCTACCTGGGAGTGCCTCCAAAATCATTTGCTTTATACTGACTGATACATTACACAACTTCTCCTAAATGGATTCCAGAACATTCCTCATTATTTGGCATCTGTCCAATTTAGCAAACCATGTTCTTTCTAAGAAGAGGCCCTTGGTCTTAAATGACCTTGGCTAGGGCATCTGCATTGCAATGCCAGGATCTAGGCTCTAGCATCTAGCATATCTTCTGCTTTTCCAGGAGATTGTAAAATAGAGGTTCCTTTCACTTAGAGCTGGGTAAGATGTCCTTAGTAGAGTGTAACTGAGTGGAGCACTCCAGGCTGACTATAACAATGGTCAGGCTATACTTCACCCTTTAAAAAAATGATTCCTCTTAAAAGGAACCCTGTGAGAAGACTCAGCCTCTGCCTATCCTGATCCTTTGCCATGTTTCTCAGGGCAGCCATCTTGTGGTGGTGCCCTGCGCAGTTTTTCAAATTGCAAGATGTGCCCACAGCCCAAAAAGGCTGCCTACCCTTGGGTTATTATGTTTGAAGGCCGTTATAAATGTCTACAACTCCAGGGGGGAAACAGTGGGTTAGGAAATTTTCATTTAGAACACTGCAGGCATGCTGAAATACGACTGCATTTCCACTTTCCAAACCCAGTTCAGACTTAATCCCTGTCCTCCGACACATGCACATCAGAGCTACGAGAGAAATGCTCACGATGCTTTTAAGGCTCTATAAATACCTTGTCCTATTCTGAGCAGCCATGTATAGGAGTGCACTGTAAGAAGCATGTCAGCACTCAAACTAAGGTCCACTCAGTAACAGAGCTCCCAGAGAAGGCCGTGGACCTGTCAACTAGTTTTCACCAGTTAGTGAGAAAAGCAGGAAGAGAGGTGCAAGGATTACACTGCAAAGGACTGGGGAGACCTGGGCTCCAGGCCCCATTCAGCCATCAAGCTCACTTGGTGACTTAGGGCCAGCCACTCACTGACTCTTAGCCTATCCTACCTCACAGGGCTGCTGTGAGAGGACAATGGGAGAAGAGGCTAGTGTGCACCCCCTTGGGCTTGTGTAAGGAACAGGTGAGCTAGAAACATACGTTTTGTGAGAATAAAATGGAGCAGTGTAAGCCACTTTGGGATCCTCACAGAAGGAAGAATGTGGGATATAGATCCAGGGTAATAACAGCAACAGCAGAAATTAAATATGTTCAAAATAGCATCTGTGAATGTAAGTAACACAAACAGGTTCGGGTGTCTCTAATACGGAGTTCGAGTCTGGTTACCAGTCCTGCCTTGCCAGTTAAGCAGCACACATGAATAGCCAATACCCAACAGAAAGTTTAGCACAAGATTAGCACAAGCCACTGAAATACTCCTGCTCTTCCACTGCTTGAGTACTTACCGGTCTCAGAACTCTTAGAACTTCAACCACGACTCCTTCTATGCTCTTCACAGAGCACAGCACCAGAGTACAAACCACCACATCCACGGATGCGTCCGGTATTTCGTGCAGATCCTCAGCTGGCGTCACCAAGCAGCGCTCTACTTGCAAGTGTGGATTCTGGGACAGACTCTCGGCAAGAAATTTGTCAAAATTGGGGTTAGGATCCGTGCATGTGATTCTGCATCCTGTCGGGTAGAACTGGAAGTTGGTGCCAGTTCCTGTGCCGATCTCCAATAGTCTGAGTGTTCCTGCAGGCCTTGCAAAGTCATTCAGGTTGCTAAAAAGTTCCTTTTTCTTGACAAACATCCTCTTATTGTAATCGACGCTTACAGAAGCCATGAAATATGGAAAAAACTTCTTGCATAAGGGGCCCCATATACCTAGGTACCAGAGTAAATAAATGGGGCCAGCAAAAATTTGGACGCATAATCTAAGCAGGACAACCAACCAGGTAGTTTCCATCTTGAACAGAGAGAAGAAATTTAGGAGAGCAAACCCAAAAAATCTTTGCAGAGACTGGGGCGGACTTTGCTTTCATCTGTTGCTTTCAGTACTAAGAGCCAATCAAAATAAAGCCAACCTCTAGAAATAACCTAACATGGCTGGTCAAGCTTTTCGCTGCGCCCTGCTGTAGCTCGCACCTCAAATGTCGGAAACGTTCCTTTTTTTCAAACTTTTCAATCCGGCGTCGATTCTGGTTTTTGTCGCTAGAGGGATTCTGGGAAGTTGTAAAAACCGGGGTGGATTCCAACAGAACGAGACGGAACAGCCCCTTTAGAAATAAAATAAAATAAAATAAAATAAAATGCCAATGGCATCTTTTAGAACACTTGAAATTTTTTGGCTCGAAAATGATCAGTTAGCATGTGTAACTGGTGAATTGGGTTCATTTTTCTCAATTGGAAGTTAGCATTCTGGTTTTTTTTTTTCCTCGAGTATGAATTATAGACCAGAACAGATAATGGAATATGGTTTCAGTGGAGATGTTATGGCTTATTACCCACTTCCTTTCAGTTGTATCTGGCTGGTGAATTTGCTTGATCTGGCTCACTTATATGTTGCCAGTATTGGGTTTGTTTGAGGGATTTTTTTTTTTGGAATATGGACCATATGGATAACAAAATGTGCTTTTGGGGAGATTGGGGGGTTTCTTGCATCCCTATCATGTAGCTATGTGCAGGTGATGAATTTGGTTGGTTTGGATTACTTCGAAGTTGGTGATCTGGACTGTTTTCTGGAATATGGACAATTTTCTGCAGTAGGTACCAAAATAAGATCTTTGCATTATACCTCTCCCATATAGTTGGAGAATGTTTGTGGTTCGGCTCACTTGAAAATGGCATCCTGGGCCATTCTCTTCTGGGTTCTCTGCATTCTGTGGTTGTTATAATATTGCAAGGGTTTCAATCCTGAACTATTGCTCTCAGTGTCTTTAACAACATGCTACTGTTTTTGACTCCTCTAAGAAACAAAGAGCTCCAACCCAATTTAATCCATTCCCGCTCTTGAAGTATCATGGCATTTTTTCCCATACTGCAGTCCAATCCTCGTTGACTCCAAAGTAAGCCCCATTTGAAATCATTGGAATTTACTCCCAGCTAAGTGTGCAGAGGATTGCAAGCATGGTGTTCTAGCATTAGGCACTGCTGGCCTCCCCACCTTTCGTTCTTTTTTTTCTGTGTCATAGGAGCCTAATGAAAGAAATACTGTAATGAATAAAAATCTCAGCAAAGCTGTGTAATATGCATCACATAGTTCTCATATACCTCCTTAAAAGAACACATTTTAAAGGTACAGTCTTTGAGAGTGAAATACTGGGGGGAAATTAAGCACTCTCTTGCAGATCCATATTCAGTCTATCATGCTTATTTCACTGTGATTTTTGTTTCAAATTAGCTGAAGAGTTCCCCAAACATAAAGGCAAAGGCTTCTTCCAGAATTAAAGGATTTCATGCCAAAACCCCATGGAAGAAAGTTCTAAAACAGAGCTGGGGAGAACCCCAGTCCTTTTGAACTGCAGTTTAAAGCAAACATGTTTTTCCCTTGCTCAAAAAACAAGCACAGGGATTTCCAGCTGCTTTCTGGAGAGAACTGAACAATAGTTCAGTGTTTCCAGGCCAACTTAAGCCTTAATATCCCACCAGTCTTTAAAGAACAGCCCAAAAGCCGTTGGGCTTCAGCAGAGGGATGGAAAACTGGGTTGCTTGACAGTTTCCATTCTGGCCATTCTTTTCCTGAGTTACCCAGAGTTACAGAAACTGTTTTTCTGCCTTTGTAGGAAGTAATATTGTAAGAAAGCTTCTGTGAAGCTCTATGTTGTTCAGGATTTCAGATTACATCCAGAAAGGCTTTTGTTGCCCTTTGTCCCATTTCTTGCACAGTATCTTCCACCTGTAACCTTCTTCTTCTTCCTCACCACTCTCCCAGGTTTTTTTTTATTTCTTACTACAAATTATTTTAAGAATAGAATAGCTGCAGGGTGCTTTTGGACTGGTAAACACAGGAACCCTCTCTTTGGAAGCATTCTAGTTAAAGGGGAAAGTGAAGAAGAAAAAAGCCTTCATTAACCTTTTAAATGCCTGTTCCAAAGAGATGAATTGTGCTCCCATTTTCTTTTTTACCAAGTGCTTTCCAGTTACTTCCTGAAAGCAGCTCAAACACCCTTGCTTGTTTTAAACAAGGACAGGGTGTCTGTTCTGAATGTTATATCCCAACGGACGCCTTGTCAGTCCTTGGCAAACAGACCACATGACCAGAGTGGAAAGAAGGAGGAGCTCCTTTATTGTACCTGCGCAGGGACCAACACTTTAGTAAAGTGCAGTGCCTATGTATGGTATTACAAGCCTTTTTATAGCATTCCTTTATCTCTGGAAAAGTACTAATGTATGTCTTCGGCACGTCTCTTGACACAATTTCTGCTGACCACTCCTAATCGTCGCTGGTATCCGGGTCTTGCAGGCCTCTTAGTCATGTTATCTTCCCTTCCTGACCTTGCGCTCCTGCTTCTTGTGCATCTTGTGCATATCTATCACCACCTTGTTCCTGTTTTTGGTTTCACATGGTCATGCTTATGTGACTCTGAGAGGGTAGGGGTATACCCTGTACCTTTCAGATAAAGTAGTTAGCAAGTAGGTGTGCCGTGCGCAAGGGTGGGCCAGGTTCAATAAGCGATAAGCGGGTATTTTGTGCTGCTAGCTAGCCTAGTTCACTGAACTGCAGGTGAAAGCAGCTGAGCAAAGTCAAGTGAGGCAAGTCTTACTTTTTTAGCAGTAGGGGTGTGGCCGTTCCTGAGAGTAGCTCCTTTCTTATAGCAAGGCCTCACTACTGCTGGGAGAAGAACGGCTAAGAGCCTCTTTGCAGAAGGAGGAAGCCTCTGCACGCCACTGAAAAGAGGAGTGAGCAGCCTTTTCCAGTCCAAGAGCCAGCTGGTTTTGGATGCTGTCAGAGGCTACATTCCGATAGTGATGCAGGAGAAAGAGCCTGACCCTGACCCTTGACAAAAAGCAGAAGTATGAAAATAAATGGTGTAGAAATATCTCTCTCTCTCTCTCTCTCTCTCTCCCTCTCCCCCTGTCTGTCTCTCTCTCTCCCTGTCTGTCTCTCACTGTGTGTCTCTCTCTCTCTCTCTCTCTCTCTCTCTCTCTCTCTCTCTCTCTCTCTCTCTGTCTGTCTGTCTGTCTCTCTGTGCAATGTGGCATTTCTGTCCATCAAGCCCTGAACCTCTTCTGGGAGCTCAGAGCACAAGCGCGTGACTCCTGAGGTGCCTTCATCTTCCCTGGGGTATAATGGATATGGTGGCAACTTATCTAAGAGATCCCAGGAGTTTAAAGCCATCAGACTTGTTGAAACTGAGGCAGCCAGCCAGCCTCCCGTGTACCTTGATTCCTTAATCCCAGATTTAGTTTGATTTGACTTATTGTCAGATTATAGTCCTGACATACAGAGGGTCGTCAGACCCATACTGGGGCCAGATGAACCCTCCGATTAGAGTGTATTTGGCCATACAACTACACAGTAGTGTACCATTTTCTCCTTTTCCAGTCCCCTACCCTGGGGAAGACTATCCCAGAACCTTAACATTCTCCCCAGCGGAGTCCAATCTGGACTCTCCCTTGTTTTATTTATTTATTTATTTATTAAAACATTTTTATGCCGCCCCATTCGCTGAAGCCTCGGGGCGGCTTACAACAGGCTCCTTGCCTTTAGGGGTGTCCCCTTTTTAAAAACCATTTCTTTCCCATCACTCACCCTGAGTGTTCTGGTCCAGTCCAAGCTGGTGTTCCTTGTGTGTTGCTCCACGGTAGTCACTAAAAAAAGTACCAGGTCTTCGATAGTCACTGCCCTGAACAGACAGCCTCCCTGTGGGCCCAACAAAACTGGTGGGGTGCTTATTCCCTCAGTAGTCCTCTGCGACGGATTGGTCCCAGATCCTGGATGAGCCTCCAAGGCACTTATGCAAAAAGCTGCAAAAATACTTCTCCTCAGGTTAAATAACCAAGACTACCAATATAGTGAGGCGATTCCTTTTTGTATTGCAATAGAGAAGGCCGCTGTATCAAAGTACAAACACACAAAGCTCCTTTTACTCCTCAGTCTGTCAGCCACAGCACTCCCCTCTTCCCTCCTTGGATGAGGTACTAGGAGATTACAGTCTTTCTTTCCAACTACTACATATCTCCCATCTCATCCCATTACATGCATCTACATACATCATATGTGCATTATAATTAGCCCACTGTCTCTTCAGGGTGTGTGAGTTATTATTCATCAATCTAGTTTGCCTGCATGCTTCTAACTACAAGTTCACCCTCTCTAACATCACTCTGCCCTACAACCCCCTGTCTTATAAAACTACTGGGAGGATGAGATAGGAAGTTGAACACTTTCTTTCAACCCAGGGATGGAAATAGGGGAAATAGTTGAGTGACAGCAGCACTGGAAGCACCTAAAATTGTAATTCAGTTGGGGGAATGGGGGGGTGGGGGGGGGGGGGGGGGCAGGGACGCCAGGGGTTCAGTCAGAGAGCTGGAATAGCATGAGAGCCCAGATGGCCAGAATGCAACAATAAGGAATTGCTTCTTTGACTTTTGCTGTGTGTGTGAGTTTCAAGCCAACTTTTGCGCTCTCCTCCTTCACCCGCATCAAGAGGCTCTTTAGTTCCTCTTCACTTTCTGCCATTAGAATGGTATCATCTGCATATCTGAGGTTGTTGATATTTCTCCCAACAATCTTAATTCCAACTGGGGATTCATTTAGCCCCACCTTTCTCATGATGTGCTCTGCATATAAGTTAAATAGGCAGGGCGACAGTATACAGCCTTGCCAAACCCCTTTCTCAATTTTGAACCAATCAGTGGTTCCATGTCCAGTTCTCACTGTTGCTTCTTGACCCACATATAGGTTTCTCAAGAGACAAATAAGATGGTCTGGTACTCCCATCTCTTTAAGAACTTGCCACAATTGGTTGTGATCCACACAATCAAAGGCTTAGCATAGTAAATGAAGTAGAAGTAGATGTTTTCTGGAACTTCATGATCCAGCATATGTTGGCAATTTGATCTCTTCTAAATCCTGCCTGTACTTCTGGTAGTTCTTGGTCCACATACTGCTGGAGCCTAGCTTGTAGGATTTTCAGCATAACTTTGCTAGCATGTGAAATGAGTGCAATGGTGCGGTAG